GAAACAAGCGATTCCTCAAAACACAACTTTTCTTCGCATATAGTTCACATGCTTCCATTGAAATTCGTATGTTTAGGCTTACCAAAAGTTGTTCTCATGCAGGCAGGAGTAGAATACACCCTCGACCCCCAGCGGGGCTCGAATTCGGGTTGGCATAACGCAGCGTATAATCTCGCCACTTTGCTACAAGTGCCCTTGCGTCACAGGCAATAAGTGCATTTCAAGAAAGCCTAGACCCCTCCCATGTCACATTTCGAATCTCTTCACCCAACATTTTCACTCGAACTGGGAGTAAGCTCAACAAGCATGAGGACAAGTCATGTGATCGTGGGAAAATTCAACTCCCAATCGTTAATCACCTTAAACGAGATGGGTTGATAGCAGCTCTGACATCTGCTCTGTGACGCATCGGCAAACGTAGCAGTGACGGACATGCACAACTCGGTAGCGAGTCCCGTTGCGGCGGTGATGAGACGATTAAGATGGGTCTAAACTGCTTTCCAGGCCAAACGAGAAGACCTTGTTTGAGGATGAGGCTGAGCGAAATGCCTTGGCCTCACGAGGCCTTCTACAAGTTCCACTGTAGTCAAGTCAACAATTGGCTACCACAACATCACAGTTATATTGTCCCATTAATCAGTAAGTCGCGTCAAGTGATAGCTCAATTTTTCCCACAATCATATGAACGGCCTCAGGTTTCCCATAAATGTCACCCGGCCTCGCCTCTCAAAAGGCATTATCATCCAAGCTGAACTCGATTACAGTTTCAGCCTCGTTTTCGTCTCCTCAGCAACCCCAGCTACATCGTCTAAATTCAACATGTTATCACCATGCAACACTGCCACGAGTGCTCCCGGCTTGCCAAGTAGACAATACTTTGAAGGAAGCCCAGGCCTACTCCATGTCACATTTTGTAGTGGGATCATTCACAATAATTTCGTTGATAAGTAGGGTTTCGAGACTGCCAGTAAATCACTCGTATGTCATGTTTAACCCTGTGGCCCAAAGGCACTCGTGGCAGTGTGGCGTAGTCGTTAACGTGTCGAGGTTACACGCTGCACTGTCACGGTTCGAGTTCCGCTGAGCGTGTTGATAAGATCTGAGCGAGGTCGAAACTGTAGTTCACCGCAGCCCGGATGAGAAGACTTTTTGCGAAAGCAAGGCAATGGGAAAAATCAACTACCAGTCCTTCATCACATAAAACGAAATAGGCTGAGCACAACGCATTTATTTTGATTTACTGGTGGTATCGAAAATGTGCATTTTGCCACTGCATTCGACTGCGTTACGCCATATGAACTAGAATTCAACGAGTAACAGCAAATGCTGAATATGTGTTCTACTCACGAGCACGATCCATGCTCCATTCTCGCTGGGGGTGTTGATGAACTCCTGGCCGAGTCGAAACTACAGTCCAGACCAGTGTGGACAAGAATGGCTCTCGGTAAGAATGACCAAAAGTCGGTGAATGGAGACGCATAAAGGGCAAAATACAACCCAACGCCTTATCATCTTCTGTGACCTCGGGCCTACTTTATGCCAGTGTCAATATCACCATTTGTGTATGTGTGTTGGCGTGTGCAGTGCGATTGTCAGGCGTCGAGAATGTCCATTTGTGCCCGTGTCTCCAAGTGACAATAGGACTGGCGGTAGGCCCGCCAGGGTGGGGACGAGGCGCGTGTGTGAACGGTGGGATTGGGCAAAGTGGTGTGTCGGAGCTTACCTTGCGGTAGATGATGATGCTGGTTGAACAGAGGATGCCGAGCGGTGCGAGAAACTGTCCCACAATAAGAGCCACCAGCATGGGCTCAGTGAAATAGACGACGCCCGGCCGCGACGGCGCGAGCCGGGCGTGGCCAGCCGCCGAGAGGGGCCCAGCCCCAGCAGCACGACTGTCCGCGGCTCCGGCGGCCAATCCCAGTCCGGCGGGAGGCTGCAATCCGCCCGCGGCCTTGGCGGCCGTCGAGTCGAGGGCTGGGGGCGTCGAGCGGTGCTCGGAGGCGCGAATCCAATTGGGCAGATTGAGCAGCAGCGCAATGAAGAGCAGAGCCAATGGCAGAGCGCACAGAGCGACACGCAACAGACACTCGCTTTTACGACTCAAGCCTCGAGGACGAAAGTCGCGCGCGCCATTCGGTCGGATCGATCGACCCGCCTGACTCGGCCCCTTTCGGCACAGCACAACAGAGCCGAGTCGCGCCAGCCAGCCTGGCCGTTGATCGTCGGTCAGTCGTCGTGGCAACTGGAGAATGCCGGTGCAGGCGGCGGCCGACTGGTTGCCGGTGGCGCCAAAGAGATTGAGATAGGCGAGACTGGAAGCTCGCCGCCAGGGGCTCGGCCCGACGGTCCGAGGCCGGCAGACAGGCGCAGTGGCGCCGGTGACGGAGCCGATGATGGCGCCGGCCGAGCCGGCCGGCATGGGCCAATGGACGGCGAGCGTGCGCTCCAGCGCGATCCAGAGCACGGCGCCGATCTCGACGGCCTGGGCCATGTCGGCCAGGCCCAGGCCGAGGTTGGCCAAGTAGAGCCGGCCCGTCCAGGCGCCCGAGGCGGTGGGCGGCACCAGGTGCAACAGACACCAGACGAGCAGACAGACGGCGATGGTGAGATTGCTGATGGCCAGCGCGAGCAGGCCGCGCAGGTAGCGCCGGTGTCGACGCCGACCACCGCCAGAGGCGGTGGACCCGGCGCCGACGGACGCTGCCGCGACGCCCGAGCACGCGCTGGCGCTGGCGCCGACACACGCACACGCGCCGGCAGACCCGGCGCCTGCGCTCGCGTTCGCGCCGCGAGTCAGGCTGAACCGACTCACTTGGCGCGTCTGGCCCACCTCAAGCTCACTGCCGCCGCCGCCGCCGGCCAAGAGGCGACTGATCGATAAGGTGGAGAGAGAGAGTTGACTGCCGAGGCTGTGCAGCAGGCCGGCGCCCGGCGCCAGCCGGCTGGCGCCTGGACTGGGCAGCAGGGCTCTGGTGGCAGGCGAGCAGACACTGAGGCTGCTGCCGGTGCGTCGGGTCAGCGGCGCAGATGGCGCGCCGACTGACCAGGTGGCCGGCTCGCCGACCGCGTTAGCGGTTGCGGCTGCGGCCGCGGCCGCGGCCGGGCTGCTCGAGCTCGGGTGGCCGCCGTGCAAGGAGCCCGAGAGTCGCGTCGCGCGGGCCAAATAGAGCAGGCCGAGGTTGGCGGTCAACGCGAGCACGGCCAGACCGCCGGCGACGACAAAGTCGAACGAGCTGGCGAACCGGCCGACAAGCGAGTCCGGCTCGCTGCTGTTCGGCCACAGACAGGCCAGCTGCGAAGAGGTGGCCAT